GGATTGAAGCTGATCTTCTTGGGCAAATTATGTAGCCTCTCTGTGCCTTAGTTGTATCATCTGTGACTGACCCCGGGCCCCTCATCACAGCTGATTTCCTAGACTCGATGTTGGGAGGGAGGCTGCTGAAGGGAGTAAGAGGTGGCAACTGCTAGGGATATTGGAGAGAGAAACAAAAACAGATTAAAGCCGATAACCTGAGTACAAATACCCTCAAAAGAGAAGGAATCCCGCAGTGTTTTGAGCCACTTAGCGTAAGGGACACAAAATCACGTGGATCCAAAGCTCTTGAACATATGAGTATTGTGGGTGGGAGGGTGTCATCATAAAAGTGTTGAGAAAAGGCCTCTTCGTTTCCCTTGACGTTTGCAGTAAGGATGGGGAGCAGAAGTGAAAATCCCCTGCTTCACAGTTGAAGGTGCTTTTTTGTGCGAAACTGACCAAAGGTTGGAAATCACTCATCAGCGATGCTGGCAAATGAAGAGGCTTCTGGATTGGGTGGGGCACTTGCTGTGACTTCCAGGTGACCTGCTGGCTGGGGGCTGTGAGGCGGGCAGTAGGATTGCAGGGTGGCCCGGGCATAATCCCTGGCTCTGAGGCTGATGCTCTGACTAGCAGACCTGGGCACCCGCAGTCCTAATGGGGCAGTTCGGGATGTGGCCTGGGACACCTGCCGTGCTGAGGGCGAGAAGAGGGCTCCCCTGATGGGGTGTCCCTGTGGAGAGTGGAAACGTCCTCCTGCAGGGGAGGAAGAGCCTCTGAGCAGGGAGCCGGATGCACAGGCAAGACCAGCCAGAGCACTGAGGTTTCCGGGAGCCGGAAGTCATACAGTGGCCCAAACCGCCTTGTTCCTGGGAAACTGGAGGGAACAGATGCTGAAAAGGCAGGCTAGGGTCAGACCCTGTGGTGGGTTATGAGTGACAGAAAAGGACTGTTCAGGCAGGCACGAGAGAACCCTGTGGGCTTCCCAGCTGGGGCGTCACCCTGAAGGGAAGAGCAGAGTTATAGACTTTGCCACTTATCAGCTGTGTGACTTTGAGCAATATCACCCCACCTCTCTCTATATATATCTTCATATGTAAAGTGACACAGTGACAAGGTCGTGTCATCAGAAGTATTAGTTTAGCTCTGATCCTTTTGTTCAGTCCTGTCAGTGCTGTCCTGCAAGGCTCTGCAGCGGCTGATCTTACCCTGAGAAGGGATGGCCTAGAGATACATTGTAGCACCCGAGGGCAGGAACGGGTTGCTTTAAAAGCAGACATGTAACCGCCTGCAGCTGCAGACCTGCAGGCAGCTTGGTTGACGGTCCTTGAGAGGACTTTGGAGGCCTTAATGTCGTCTTAAATCTTGTTTTCCCTTAGGGACCAGATTTGCCTTTGCGGATTGATGTTGAAGGTTTGGGCTTCTGGCAAAGCTGTTTTCAGAGATGGATATATACGTAAAATATCGTATAAAATAAAATGATTTATTTAACATGTGCGACTTGTTAGCTGTTGGGAACAGCTCTGTTGGCCTGGTCTCCACGGAGGACACCAAGGATCACCAGAGCGTGCGGGAGGGCAGGTGGCCTGCACTGCTTCTGCGGGGGGTTCTCCCCAGCAGGGCGCTCTGCTGAGTTGACTCTTCTTTGAGTTTGGTTGCCAAAGGAGCAGACAGCAAATTAATGAGTTCTGGAGGGATTGTATAATGACAGGAAGAAATAGGAACCTGGAGATATTTTTGGACTAAAATAAGCTATTGGTTCCTGATTCAGTGTGTTCCATTACAGAATTTATGAGTTGTGTCTATTCTGGAACGTCATTGAAATAAACATTCAGCCTAATTGTTAAGGGCTTTGTTTTATATGGCTCGAGGACTCGAGCCGGGATGACAGCCTCTCAGATCACTCTAAGGGACTGCTCCCAAGAGGTAGGGGAGGAGCTAGGATATATAGAAGCTTTACAACAAAGACTAGGTAATTGGAACAATAAAATATTGCTTGTTATCTAAAGAAAGCCAGATATCTCAAGTTCAAGTATTTAGTGCTTTTCTATGTATGGTGGGAAGCAAACATTTGGGTCATTGAATTCATTCCTTTGGCAAGCACCTAGCTATCTAGGGCCAGTATCCTGTTATCCTGTCCTTTCTTACTCTGAGTCCGCTCAGAGGACGCCACTGTGAGTGGCTGAGAGGCCGGGCTGCAGGCATGTCCTCGCTGGGGGTTGGCAGCAGCCGCTGATGACTTGGATTCAGCATTCTTTGTTTACTGACATGGTTGC